TAAACAACATTTTCAAACATATTATTTCCAAGTACATATGGGATGCTTACCCAGATAGACCACATCCTGAGCCTAAAAGGTAGTTTCAATAAATGTCATTGGATTGAACTCACTGAGAATACATTCTCTGATCAAAGACAAACCAAACTTAGTATCAAAGTTAACTAAAAGAATCCCCAAATATTTATAAATTAAGTAATGTATTTCTAAATAGCTCATAATTCACAGAAGAAATCACACTGGAAATTTAAAAATGTTATGATCTGAATTATAATAAGTATAGCAAATCAAAACTATAAAACATTAGGGATAGAAATAAAAGATTAGATAAATGGATGGACATGGTTGAAAATTATTAAGATGGTAATTCCTCCAAATCTATTCAATGGAATTCTGATCAAATTTCTGGCATATTTTTCATTTCTGAAAATTGACAAGCTGGTTCTAAAGTGAATATAGAAATGCAAAAAACCAAAAAAAACGTAGACACTCTGGAAAAAGAAGCAAGAATTTTAAGCACTAACAATATCACATATTAAAATTTGTTATAAAACCACAGCAATTACAACTGTGTGGTATTGGGACAAGGATATGCAAGTACACAAATGAAACATAAGTCCAGAAACAGACCCCTCCATGTAAGGTAACATGGTTTATGACAAATGTGCTTCTACAATGCAGGGGGGAAAGGTAGTTATTTCAACAAATTATATTAAGCCAATTAAATAACAATATGAAAAAAATGAATATTGATACCTATCTTATACCATACACAGAAATCAATTCTAAATGGACTGGCAATTTAACTGTGAAAAGGGAAAACTAACGTATTGAGCAAAAAAAAAGTGGAGGAAAAAAAGTTTTTTTTTAAGATTTTTATTTATTTATTTGACAGAGAGAGAGAGCACAAGTAGGGGGAGTGGCAGGCAGAAGGGGAGGGAGAAGCAAGTTTCCTGCTGAGCAGGGAGCCTGATGCGGGACTCAATCCCAGGACCCTGGGATCATGACCTGAGCCAAAGGCAGACACTTAACAACTGAGCCACCCAGGCATCCCTGGAGGAAAATATTTCTGAGTTTGGAGTAAGCAGAAAATTTTTAGAATAGAACACAATAGAAGGTTATGCACAAAAGGAAAAGATTATAAGAAGGACCATATTAAAAACTGTAACTTCCATTTATCAAAAACAGCATTAAAATAATGCAAAGGCTAATTATTTACAATAGCCAAGGTATGGCAGTAACCCAAGTATCCATCCATAAGTGAATGGATAAAGAAGACGTGGTATGTATACAATGGAATATGACTGGGCAATTAAAGAGAATGACATCTTGTCATTCGCAACATGGATGGACCCAGAGGTCCAATGCCAAGTGAAATAAGTCAGTCAGAGAAAATGATTTCACTCATATGTAGAATTTAAGGAACAAAACAAATGAACAAATGAAGAAAAAAAGAGACAAACAACAACAAAAACTAGACTTAAATTCAGAGAACAAACTGGTGGTTGCCAGAGGGGAGGTGGGTAGGGAAATGGGTGAGATAATAAAAGGGGATTAAGAGTACACTTATCTTTTTTTTTTTTTAAGATTTATTTATTTGAGAGAGAGAGCAAGCATGCAGGGAAAGGACAGAGGAACAGAATCTTCAAGCAGATTCCCCACTGAGCACGGAGCCTGACCCAGGGCTTGATCTCACAACCCTGAGATCATGACCTGAGCCAAAACCAAGAGTCAGATGATCAACCAACTGAGCCACCCAGACGCCCCAAGAGTATACTTATCTTGATGAGCACTGAACAATGTATTTAATTGTTGAATCATGTTCTACACCTGAAATTAATATAACTCTGTATGTTAATTATACCTCAATTAAAAAATTAACTCAAAATCAAGTAAAGACTTGAACCATGAAACTCCTAGAAAAAAAATATAGACAATAAACTCTGACATTAGTCTTGGCAATGACTTTTTGAATGTGACACCAAATGCAAAAACAACAAAAACAAAAATAAACAAAGGAAGGAAACCATCAACAAAATGAAAAGGCAGCCTACTGAATGAGAGAAAATATTTGCAAATCATATATCCAAAATATATAAAGAATTCACAAAACTCAACAGCAAAAAATAAACAATTTGATTTAAAAATGGGCAGATCTGAGTAGATGTTTTTCCAAAGAAGATATACAAATGTCCAAAGTTACACAAAAACATGCTTAACATTATTCAACTCCAGGGAAATACAAATCAAAACCACAATCACTTCACACAGGTTAGAATGGCTATTATCAAAAAAGATAAGAAATAACAAGTATTGGCAAGGATGTGGAGGAAAAAGAACCCTCAATTCAGGGACTCAAAAAGATATTTGCACACTCATGTTCATAAAAGCATCATTCACAATAGACAAAAGGTAGAAGCAACCCAAGTGTACATTGACAGATGAGTGGATAAACAAAATGTGGTATAAACACAATGGAATAATAGTCCACCTTAGAAAGGAAGGAAACTGACACATGCATGCTACAACATAGATGAACATTGAGAAAATTATGCTAAGTGAAATAAGTTAGTTGCCAAAGGACTAATACTGTATGATTCCAATTATAAGAAGTACCTAGAGTTGTCAAATTTATATTTATTAATTTATAAATGTCCATTTATATATGGAAAGTACAGCAGTGTTTTCAGGGGTTGAGGGGAGGGGGAGAGGGGGAGTTATTGTTTAATGGATACAGAGTTGGGGTTTTGCAAGATAAAAAGAATTCTGGAGATGGATGGTGGTGATGATGGCCCAACAATGTGAGTAGCCGCTGGACTTAAAGATAGTTAAGATAGGGACGCCTAGGTGGCTCAGTTGGTTGAGGGACCAACTCTTGATTTCAGCTCAGGTTATGATCTCAGTCAGGGTCATCATGATCTCAAGCCCCACCTGGGGCTCCACACTCAGCAGGGAGTGTGCTTGGGATTCTCTCCCTTTCCCTCTGCCCCTCCCCCCCACTCACGTACTTGCACTCTCTCGCTCTCTCTCTTTCAAATAAATATTTTTAAAAATGTGCTTGGGCACCTGGGTGGCTCAGATGGTTAAGCATCTGCCTTCAGCTCAGGTCATGATCCCAGGATCCTGGGATAGAGTGCCACATCAGGCTCCCTGCTTGGCGGGGAACCTGCTTCTCCCTCTCCCTCTGCTACTCCCCCTGCTTGTGCTTTTTTGCTCTTTCTCTCAAATAAATAATTAAAATCTTTTTTAAAAATAAAATAAAAATAAAAATATGCTCAACCTCAACAGTAATTAGGGGAAAGCTAATGAAAGTCATAATGAGATGCCACTACAAGACAACCAGAACGGCTAAATTTAAAAAATCAAAACTGACATGTCCGTAAAGATGCAGAGTTCAGGGAACTAGTTACATTGCTCTGGAGTCCAAAATGGTACAAATAACAACTACAACAACAACAACAACAAAATAGCTGGCACTGTCTACGGAAGTTGAAGATACACATTCTCTGACCTAGCAGTTTCACTCCTCGACACACATCTAAAAAACAGATCATATGTACACCAAGAAACATATACAAGCATGTTCGTAGCAGTAAAAAACTGGAAATTGATAACAACTCAAACTTCCATCAACAGTAAATGGACGAATAAACTGTGGTTACCACACCGCTATGAAAAGGAGGGAAGCATGGATCATCATAGTGGTATAGGTGAATCTCACAAAGGATGCCCGGCAAAAGAATATATGTGGGATGAGTCCATTTAAATAAAGTTAAAAAACAATCAAAACATATATTTGGGTAATAAAAAGATAAAGAAAAGCAGGGAAATTGATAAAGCCAGGATTTGGGAGTGAGGGAAGGGTTTGTGATGGGAAAGGGTGGGCACTTCTGGAATGTTGATGCCATTCTGTATCCCCTGATCTGGGCGGTGGAGACATCGATTTTTAAATTTCCATTCATAAATTTCCATTCCATTGACATATACTTCTTTCCATATGTGTGTTACACCTTACAATAAGTTTCTATTTTAAAATAAAAATATTGGAAGACAATATATAGCTGCAAAAAAAGTCTAACTTCATTTATTTGGTTGTCTCGTTCCTCCAACATCATTTTTTAAGTCATCTGAACTATCCCCACTGATTTGTGATTCCAACTTTATAACATACTTAATACTCGCAGTTGAGAGTTGGTAATGGTTGTTATCAACAATCCGGTCTTGGTCTTTGGCCAGGATGAACGGACTTTTGCGTACAGGGTGGCGCTGGAGTGTGAATAAAGTAGACTAAAAGCGGGGGAGGGAGGCCGTGGTAGTCCTCGTCCTGGGGTTTATTTTTAAATAGGAAAATTCTAGAGACAGAACTGAAAAGAGAAAGGAAGTCTGCGAGAGGGTTGCCAAGTCAGAGAGTAAAGTGTCACCTGATACAAGGACTTATGAATGAGCTCAGAGTAAAACTATTTGGGGGAGCTCTTAAGAAGAGGCCAGGCCTGCGAGGAGGGTGGGGGGAGATTTGTTATACTGGATGCCTCCCCCAAGGGTACAACCTCATCCACACCACGTAGGTGGTAAGATAAAGCTTGCTGAACGTTCTCAAAGATTTGACATACTGTTATCTTTAAGTTGTATTCATTGTTTTTTTTTTCTTACTTTAAACACTGTATTTATTGATTAAAGGAAATTACAGAAAAATACACTCTGACACATTTTGTCTAATCTTGACCGCTGCGGAGTTCATTGCCTTTTTAGCGCGCAGTGGAGGACTGGTGCATTACCTGCATTCCCCGTCCGCCCAGAGCTGCCCCGGGGGTCTCGGAAGTGAGACACTAACCAGCCTCCAGCCGCTGAGCGAGACGCGAACCCTCGGATCAAGCCAGCAAGCTCCCCGGCCGGGGGGGGGGAGGGGGGAGCGGGACTGATAGGTGCGAGGGGCGGTCCGACGGGCCTGGCTCCGCCCCTGGGGAAGGGGTCCCGCCCAGTCCCCGCCCCGCCCGCGCCGGGCCCCAGCCCCGCCCGCGCTCGCTCTGTGCGCCCACACTTTGAGCCCCGAGCCGCGGCCACGCAGGTCAGACCCGCGCCGCAGCGGCCGGAGATGCAGCGGGGAGCCGCGCTGTGCCTGCGCCTGTGGCTCTGCCTCGGACTGCTCGACGGCGAGCGCGGTGAGCCCTCTGCCCGCACGCGTGCGCCGCTGGCCGCGATGGGGGCCGCTTTCCCGGGGCGACGGGGGACGGGCGGGGCACTGGACCCCCGGGAGCCTGGGGCTGCAGGGGAGATGGGGCTGGGAGCCAGGGGATACGGACCCCGGATGGAGCCGGCCTGGGCCCGCGGGGCTGAGGAAAGGGCGGGCGGAGACTGCAGCTGGGTCGGGGACTGGGCACCGTCTGCACCGCAGCGCAGGGATTGTGCTCGGGGTCCTCGACCACCCTCCACTATCTGTCCTTTGGAGCCGGGCCCCGTCGCACCGCATCCTCAGCTAGGATCCTTCGCTTGCTTACTGGCTTCCCGGGGTAGGTGTGCCGGGGGTGGGGAGTCCCGGGGCTGCACTGCGCTGCCCTCCCACCCGCGCCACGGGGACGGTACCCCGGCAAATCCCCGCCGGGCCGCAGACCTGGGTGCGCACTTCCCGACGCCTCCCAGCTGCGCTCGAGGTCGGTCCCCCAGAGGGCGCTCCGGGCAGGTGTCCACCTTCCCCAGGCCAGAGATTGCGGAGGCAGGGGTTCGGGGACCAGCAGAGACAGGCGCCGTTGGGCAGATTGGGCGCAGGTGCACAGGGGAACTTGGGGATCTTGAGTTGACAATCCAGGAGAGATCAACGTGGCAGAAGAGGCAGAATGCCGGCGCTCCCTGTATTTGACGGGGCAGGAGCCTTTGAAGGCCCAGCTCAAGAGCTTGGACTATCCGGCAGGAGAAGCCGTGGAAGCGTCTTAAGCACATCTCTGTGGCAGGGTATGGTCTGTGACAGGAATATGACCAGAAGTTGTCCCCGTGCGGTTGGAGAAAAGGGAGTGTGGGAGATGAGAAAAGGAGCAGAGGAGTATTGTTGTATAGAGATGTCAGAGGATGGGTAAGGATGAGCTGGACGTCTATACAAGATCTGGTGACCCAGAGAATCAGAAGGTAGAGAGAGGGTCATGGGTCCCCAGTGGTTGGAGGAAAAGTGCTGGAAGGGCTGGAGGGGGTCCAGATTTTTGAACACGGCAGATATTAAATACTGGCTTCACATGCTTCATCCCTTTTAATAATCCTCACAAGGGAATATTAGACCCGTTTTACAGAGGAGAAAGCATAGAACAAGGACATCTGTAATTTCTCCAAGGTTCCCAAAGGCCAGCAGTAAGGGAAATGGTCAACCCAGATCTGTAGGATAACAGAGCCCTGTTCTCTATGCCTTCACAGACTGAAGGGCAGAGGACAGGGGAGATGAAGGAGGTGTGGATGAATCTAGAGGCAGGATGGAGGAAGACATCTGCCTGGGGCCTCTGAGGCAGGTCAGAGAAGAGGGGCTGCCCCTTTGCCCTTCCTTGCTCCCCTGCATCCAGCCCAGGGCCAGGCTCTCACCAATACTTAGTGTGTTTGCTGAGTGACCGAATGAGTGTGGAGAGAGAAGTGAAGTGGATCAGGCTGAGGAGGGGGAGACCCCACCTTGAGGAGACATCCGGCAGACCATTGGGTGTAGTGTCTGAAGCTCAAGAGAGGCTGGGCTGGGGAGCTGGAGAGGAAGCAGAGCAGAGTCCGGGCTGCATTTCCCCCACACCAGGGAGGGAGCCAGAGGCTTCCAGGGAGACAGGGAACGTACTGCAAGGTGTGAGAACGAGGAGAGCCTGAGGTTGGGTGCTCCGGAGGTGGAGGAGGGAAAAGGGATGAGGCCAGTCTTACGGGGAGCTCAGGTGGTTCATACAGAGTCAGGCAGTGAAGAGGAGGAGAGAGGATGTTAGCTGAAGGGGCCCATGGAGGAGGATGGCCCAGCTGGACCGTGACACGGCTGGTGGGAAATGTGCCCTGCATTTGCCCTGGGGAGCTCCCCAGCCTGATGAGGGATGCTGGAGCAGAAGCATAAACACTTCAGTTGCAGCCAAGTGTCAGGACAACCAGACTGGGTGGCCAGGTACTGGCAGGTGAGAATCTCGGGGAAGATGAAGCTGACCCCTCAAAAGTATGCAGTTAGCCCTAGATTCACATTTTTGTGGATGCAGCTCTGCCCCTAAATTCCTGGCTGTGTGGCCTGGGTCCCAACTTCCTCTCCCTGCACCTCAGTTTCCCCATGCATAGTAGTGCAAATGAGCAAGCACTTGAGGGGCTGTGCTTGGGCTGGACTTTATGGCTTGGGGTCCCGGTCTAGTTTCAAAAAGCAGTTCCTTGGCAGTGTCCCTGTGGAGAGGGCAGGTGGCAGAGGACAGGCCCAAGAGGCTTTGTTTGGGGGGCTTAGTCTAGAGAGAGGCTGTCTGTGCTGCTGGACAGTGGGCAATCAGCTCAGGGACATGTAGGGGAAGCAAGTGACAGCCGGGCAGCTGGTTGCCCTGGCCTGAGGACACTGGCCCCTGCCGTGGGCTGAGTCTCGTGTGGCCAGCCATTCAGTTCTCTGCTGTCCCTGTTCCTCAGCCCTGAGCCAGACCCAGGTGTGGACAGAGCAATGGGGGAGGGACGGGGCATGCCAGTGAGGCAGGATGTGGGGGCTGGGCCACCTTACTGGGGTCCTGTGGGCCACTGGCCCCATCTCAGTCACTGTGGCTTAAGGGCTCTCTTCCTCCTCAGAGCACAGAGCCCACACAACCAGGCACTCGACTGAGAATGAGGTGTGACGAGGATTATCTGGCCAGCTCCACCCTGTTCCACCCCCACGCTGCCCCAGGCAGTGGGACCTCAACCTAGGGAAGGAGACTGCAGTTCTATGCCAGTCACAAGCTCTGGTGCCTGTTCAGGGTGGCTCAGGGAGGATTTGGACCAGCCCCATCCTGCAGGGGTTTTGCTGAGTGCCAGACTGGCTGGGACACAGACATGGTATCAGATATCTGTATCATAGGGACAGAAGTGCTCAGGACCCCCACGAGGCCCAGCTGGTAGCCGTGGGCTGCAGAGGAAGGGGGCATCACTTCTAGCTGGGGGCTTCTTGAAGGGATCTGCAGAATCCAGGGAAGGGAATTCCAAGTAGGGCAAAGAACCCCTCCAAGGCTCAGAAGCAGGGAAGTCCAGATGGTATATGGGGACTTGTGGGTAGTAGATGAGGCTAGAGGCTCGAGGGGGCTGGGGGTAAGGTGGGGGAGGTGAGGCAGTTGGAGGGGGCAGGAGTCAGCGGCACACCTGGAAAAGAGAAGTTCTGGGCAGGGAGGCTCCTGGTCAGGTCCCCTGAAGGCACTGCCAGAGGTGCAAAACAAGGTGGGGGCCCACAGCAAGGGGGTACCACAGGGGAGGAGGCAGGGGAGGGCAGGGATGTGTGCTAGTCTCTGGCCTAAGTCACAGAATGGGTCATGAAGGTGGTTTACCAGATGGGAACCCTGGGAGGAGGGGCGCAGGTAGGGACATGAAGGCTGCTCAGGGAGCCAGGTCCTCCAGGAGGAGGTGCCCTGGGGACTTCCTGGGAGACCCCAGTTGATACAACTGGGCCAGATAAGGAAGGAGGAGACTTGGGAGCACCTGACTGTAATAGGGCAGAAGGCAATCCGGGAACCCAGGAAAATTAAGTGGGGTCTTAGCCTGGAGGGAGAAGTTCTCTGTGTCTAGCTTACACTCCTCCCGCTGTTGGTTTGGGCGCTTTCCCCCACAGGGCAGATTTCTCGCCACCAGGGCCTCGCCGGCACCCTCCCCCCCCCCCCCCCAAGCTCTCTGAGAGGCCTCTCCGGGAGGGAGGTGGGCCGGGGAAAGGGTCTGGAGAGCCCCTCACGCTCCCTGCGCTGACTTCGGAGCCAGAGGCAGCCGACGTGTCCAGCTGGAGCCAGGGATTCCTGAGTTTCGATCCTTTTCAGACACTGGCTTCCTCTGGGATCTCAGTTTTCCGGTCACGCCGAAGGGAGAAGTCTGCGAGCAGGAAGGTGCGGGCATTCAGGGCTGGCAGCGGCTGGGCCTGGGTGGGGCAGCCGGGCGCGCCCCGGCCGCGCTCCCGCGCCGCGGGTCACCTCCGCCACCCCCCATCCCAGGCCAGGCCAGGGTGTAGGTGGCCCCGCGAGCAGGCGCAGGTCAGGGTGGCGAGTGGGGGAGCCCCGCCACGTGGCCAGCGAGGTCAGCAGGGGTTCATGGGAAAGGACTTGTCGGCCACAGGAGAGGACATCCTGCCTGCGTTTCCCTCTTCCTGCGGCAGGAGCCCACGGCCCCGATTTAGCAGCGCTCGGGGGCCTCCTCTGAGCCAGCTGGGCTGTCTGATAACACGGCCCGTCCTGCCGCCCGGGAGCGGAGTCCTGACCCCAGGCGGGCGGGCTAACTGCCTGGCACAGCTGGCTGCACCCGCAGCTGGGCTGCGCTCGGAGCTCAGCGTCTGCCAGGGTGCCCCTCCTCCCCGTCACCCTCAGGGGGTCCTCCGGCAGCCCATGCTCCCACTCCGCCCCACCTCCCTCCCTGCTTCCAGCGGGACCTTTCTAAAACACAGATCTGAGTTTTCCGTGGCACCCCCTCCCCCCGCCCGAGCGATAAAGCACCAACTTCTTGAGCTGGTGGTCCAGACCCCTCCTGCTATGGTCCCAAGGGCATCCCTAACCCCGTGTCCACCTAGCCTGTACCCACCACACACCCCAGCTCCCAGCACATGACCTTCCTCCTGCTCTAGATACGCCCTGCCTTTCACCCCACCTTTGGAGGGGTTGCCAAGAACTGCAGGTAGGGGATGGTGCTTCTCCAAGTGGGTGGGTTCGAGGGGGCTCCGTTCCCACACGCTGCCCCCAGAGCATGGAATGCGGGCTTTCAGGCGGGTTTGGGGGAAGCCCTGATCCTCACCCTTAGTGCAGAGCTTCATCCTCAGAGCTACACTAAATTCTACCCAAGGGAGATTTATTCGTATTAGGCGGCACACACATGTGCATTTGGAGTGTCTGGCGGTGGAGCCTCACCTCGGTGTCAAAACGGCTAATCAAACTACTTTACTCTAGGGTATGCGAAGGTTTTAGCTTTGTGTCATGGCTTACTGTGTCCACCTTGGACATTAGGAGTTAAGGCTGGAGGGTGAAATGGCTCG